CAGACTGTTAGAGCTCTCTGATGCTCTGATCCAGGTCTGGGAGGAGAGATCCCAGGACACACTCTCACCAGGAGTGTGCTCAGACGTTGAGTGCATACATACTACTGAGCCATATTATGACACAACCTATTTCAGTGTGTGTGTTAATTTTTAAGTTTTTTTGAGGTCTTCTTAGACTCATGTCTTCCCCTTTTCTATTCCAGGAATGTTTAAAAATGGGTTTTAACTTCTGTTTGGACTGGTGCTCTTTGTTGGTACTCGGTAGCTACAGATAAATCTTTTCTTGTGCCAGATTTCTTATGAATCACTTGTATTGTCACTACATGTCATGAGTCTCACTTTGCAGAAAATTACTCCTTCTACTCATGATCATATTGATATACTGTAGCAGCAAAAACATTGTAACATGCATATGGAGTATTTGCAGTCCTAGTTATCAGAGCTGCATCACCTCTGTGTTTGAGTCATAGCTGTAGTTTGAAAATACTTTTTTTTTTAAAAAAAATTTATTCCATGTGCACAAGATTTCGGCTACTTAGCAGTTCAGTGGTTTTGGTCCTTATTAATTCATCAAAATGTTTATGTGGGTGAGCAGTCTGCAGCATTCTTGCATTGCAGCCATGGTATTGTAATATGTGTTGAATGTGTTTTGGGATTGTCTTGCTGAATAAGCAACATTGTCCTTGAAGAAAACTCCACGTGCTCCGTATCTTGCACAGTGCACCAGGCACTGTTACGGGCTGCTCCTACATATAGCTGTCAAATCATCAGATCCTGCTTTTAGATTTAATCCAGTGTGATTTCAGTGGTGGTGCCCTCCTGTGCCTCCTCCTTGGAGATGTCCGTGGTCATCCTGAGATCAGGTCCATCAGCACATGTTGATCCAAATGTGAGACTGTATCGCTGTTCGGTGGCCCTAATAGTTTCAGAAACCTTTAGGTTTTTGCATGCCAACAACAAAGCCAGGATGTCAGGAACAGAATTGGCTTCCAGCTAATTACTGATCCGTCTCCCTCCTTTTCATCTTTTCAACCTCTGTATAAAAGAGTTCGCCAAGTACCGTTCTCATTATGCAGTGGGGTGTTGCTGAAACAGGCCCAGATGCCCAGTGAACCTCTGTGAAGACTATAGCCTGAATAAATCAAAAAGCAGCATCAGTTTGAGCATAAGCAATGCTAAGCGCTTTACTTGCCTCTGGGAGATCTAGCTTTTTGATATTAAATAACAGCGTGCAAGAAAAACCTGGACAGTTATCAGACAGCCAGTCACTTGAACATAGCACTCAGTGCAAACAACTGCATTTGTCTTGTGTGTGTGTGTATGCTTGGCCTGCAGCTTTATAGGATGACAGAACAATTTTAAAATATAGCCAGTCCACAATAAGGAAAGATTTAATGAGTAGTGGAAAAGTAAACAGATTGTAGATTTTCCCAGGGGTATTTGCACAGATGAGAGCTGGCAACGGCCTCAAGATGACTGTGGAAACAAACTGCCCTAGAGCCCCATTGGCAATACCGATAAGCCACAGTTGGCAGAGTACAGCCCATCAACAGAACTGTGGGATGGTTTTCTTTTTTCTCTTTGTGAGCAGCAGAAAAAGAAACCTAAGATATATTTGGGTTCGCTTTATTTCTGACTTTCTTTGTCATTTCAATTAGCAGAAAACATCACTGTTCCTGCTTTTTGTGCTTCAGTAAAATATTTCATTTACCACTCACTTTTTTGTATTTTTTATTTGGGGGGGGGGGGACAATGCAAACAACAATGTAGAGATTGGACAATTTCAAGTAGATATTCCACGTCTTAATTTATCAGGCACTATTGAGAAGATTTGATCAACTTTTTACACAAGCATGGTTGAAACTTGGTCTAATATGTGCAGAGTAGCTTGTAAATTGTAAAATAAAAGTCTAAACATTTGAGATCTACTTGAGCAACACTTGAAGTGCTGATGACCAGCCCCATATCAAAGGGGAGATCCTTGAAATAGGATATTGCTCTCTGCAGGCAGTCGTTCTCCACTTGGTCTCCAGTTGAGTTGAAACAAATCAAAACTCCTCCTTGGTGGAGGACATCCAATGAATAAGTCATTCTTTGAAATATTAAATTCAAATTGAAAAATGCATCAATACTCATGGTATTTATTTAGTATTCAGCTTGATGATCAGATGTATTGATGTCTAAATTGCAGTTTCACATCTTTTACTTCCCTGCTGCGGCACTTAACTTGGCTTAAATGTTGCATCTACATGTGCTCATTTGGGCTGATTTGGCTTTTTTTCAGTTTTGACACAGATACTGTGGGTTCTTGTCTGTCTTTCTAAGACGCCGTCCAGTTTATAGTGAACCTGCCTACAACCACAATTTCCATCATTGCCAACTTGTCCTTTTTTTTTCTTCTTTTTTTTTTTAAACCGTTGAATCCATCAAGTGCAAAAATACTTGCACCAAAATATGCAGTCCTAATTATTCTAGCTGCATCACCTCTTGTGCCAACTCTCATAACGCTTTGTTAGCACTCCTCTTAGCAAATTCTGCAGCGATTAAATGGTTAACTTTGTTCTACCACAAGTCACTGGTAAAGAAATGGCGTACAGATGTGTTGAGACACCCCTCGTTACTTTATATTTTGCTTCCAAGAAGCGTTAGATTTTTTTATTTTTTTTTATTTTTTTGTAAGTGAACAGTGCTCAAATTTTCCGAAGGCCTTTCAAAGTTTTTCTTTGAATTTTTAGTTTTCTGTTTATCCACGTAACACTGGAACCTTGTTCATGGGATGAACAGGTCTTGTGTTTATGCATACTACAATTTAATAAAGAGCCAATGTGAAATTCTGTCCTTGGATACACATGATTTGTTCCCATTTCTTTAGTCAAATCTGTAAAAATTGCTATAGCCAATAGTTTTTTAATGCATAAAATAGTATTTTTGCACCAACAGGGTGATTCCCAAAGAACCATTTGCCTAAAAAATGGCACATTTGAACAGACAAACCAGACAAATAGAAGACAAAGTAAGACGTGCCAGGCCTAAAACAAACTATCTACAGCAGATGAAGAGTATCTAAAAGTCACATCCTTGAGAAATGGACACGCCACAGACCTGACACAGGATCTGAGAGCTGCATCAGGCCCGTTAGTTTATCCTTCTGCTGTTCAGTGAAGCCTCAGAAATAGTCTCGGTGGAAGTGTGGCTGTGGAGAAGACTAAAAATTAGTGGCAACAGGTCTTATGGAGCGAGGAATCCAAATTTGAAAGATTTGGTTGAAATCATCATCGGCATGTATGGAGTAGGTCAGGAGGGAGGCACATCAGTGAGGGTCTACAGCCATCTTTAAGACATAGTGGGGGTCAGATGTTCCACCATGCAATATAGTCTAGAAAGGTTAAATGCAGAGAGGATTTTCCCCACAGGGATCAATAAAGTATACATATTACATTATTATTTAAATGCCATCAGTCATGGGTCGACCACCGCAGAGCCCGGACCTCAACATTAGTCTCTGGACAGAGAACAGAAGAAAAGGGAGCCACAGCCTACGAAGAGTTCTGAATGTCCTTTAACAAGCCTCGAGAACTTTGACTAAAAGCTGCCTAAGAGTTCAGGCCATGTTGAATAAAGATGGTCATACTAAATACTGACTTTCAAGCTTTTCATTATGTTCTGTATTTATGTGTTTGCACATTAAATTGCTGCTCTGATTTTCCACTTCCCATGAAAAACAGAGATGAGGCTTGGCTTGACTTTTATTTTTTTAATTTTTTTAAACATTACTATCACAAATTTATTTAGTTTTTTTTTTTAATGTGGCAGCGAGTTGTTTCACAGGAGAGGGGTCATACTAGATGAAATGTCAAGTTGTGGTGCAAATGATTAATGAAAAAATGTTATTATGAATGTTGACAGCTCTGCACTTCATCTGTTAATATTAGCAGCAGATCACCAGTGTGGCAAAACATTGTTATAATTATAATTTCGACTCCTCTTTCTCCTCCAGCCCTCGAGGGGCTCCATATGCTGTAGTGTTGGACACTCCTCATTCTCCTCTTCACTTCGCCTTCCTCTCTGCTCTCTTGCCAAGTGGTTTGGAACAGTTCAGCCTTTCTCACTCATCTCATGCTCGTTTTCTTCACTCTCATCTCGTTATTTTCCTCTTCTTGTATATCTGGCCTCCATTATTTTCAGTGTATGTTACGTTATGCTGAGGTTTTAGGCACCTGGTAGATGTGATCCTGCAATGTCTGTTGTTTAAATGACAGCCCTGTCAGAAGGAGCAGAATGTTTTAGCTTTTGGTCTTTTAAAGTTAACTTTTATATTTTAAATGAGTGAGTGATGAGAGACATGTGACTAAGCTTGAAAGGCTTCATTTGAATCTAACACACTGTTACATTTCAGTGCACTGAGACACCAGGATACTTTTTCTGCCTGGCTCCTTAATATGCTTTTTTTCAGGGTCTGAATAGATGTGCCTGCACTGGTCATTGATCCCAGCTCAAACAGTGATTGCAGGGACATATACCAGTATTGTCTGTTTCCAAAGTAGTGAAAATACAACCAGTTAATAGCAGTTTCAATAGCAGAAATAACACAAATGTTAGTGCTTCCTGTAAAATATATCGAAGAGGAATAGCTGGGGGGGGAAATGCATTCAGTAGCATTACTAGACCTTGCAGGGTAATACAATAATATCCCTAATGAGAACACTAAATCTTGTATTGGCAAATTATCCAAGTGTATTATCTTGCCAACTGCAGAAAAATCCAATGTAATGAAATCCACAAAAATACTGTGCATATATTGTTTTGCACATTTGTTTATTGTTAATGAACAAATCAGAAATGGCAGAAATTGAGAATTTGTCCTGAGTGTACAGAAAATGTATTATATATTGATAACAGACTATCAATAATGACCTTTTTTCTATATTAAATGTCTCTCTTGTGCAATGACAGACATTTTCCTTCAAAAATATTAACCTGTGCCGTGTTCTTCCTGCCAGGTCTTCCGAAGCGGCGAGGGCATGGGCATCCGTCTGGACAGCGCCTCAGCCTTCCAGGGTGCCGTCATTTCTCCACACTATGACTCATTACTAGTGAAAGTCATCGCCAGCGGAAAGGACCTGAACACAGCAGCCTCCAAGATGAGCCGAGCTCTGGCTGAGTTCAGAGTGAGAGGGGTTAAGGTAGGACATTCGGCCAAGTGCGCTCCAAAGGGTTCCAGCTTTGTGCATGTTTTTCCTGGTTTAATTTGCTTTTCTAGCTGTTGTTTGGCTAGTTGAGCTGATGAGGAAACTCGGGAACTAATGAACATTTTGGCATGGGGATTGATTCTTTCACAGCTCGGATATAAATTGAATTCTACTCTGTGTATTGGTGGCTGGCATGGTAAGAGCCCGTCTAAAACTACTCAGGGTAGTTTAGATTAATGGTGTGATGCATTTAAAGCTGAAAGAGAGCGAGTGTGTACTCAGTTGCTGCAGAGTGCCACAGCTAAGAAGTGGTGCGCTAGCAGTCTTGGACACTTAGCCTGTGTGACCTTTCTGGCTGATTACATGGTTTATGTTGCTCTTTATTTCTTGGCTTTCCGACTGAAAACACACTCTGCCTGTGTCAGAAGGTGCCAGTTGTTGTTGGCTTATAGCAGTTTTGTCACAACAACTTGCACTTGTTAAGGTAGTGCTATCCACCTTTCATAACACTGCAGCCCATACACAGAAACACAAGTGCATTACTGCTGCTGGTGAGGGAAAAACACGCCTGGGAGGTTATTTCCCACTTGCAGCACAAAGAGAAAGATGTAAACGATGTGGGGCGATCGTGGCTCAAGAGTTGGCAGTTCGTCTTCGGAAGGTTGCCGGTTCGAGCCCCGGCTTGGACAGTCTTGGTCATTTTGTCCTTGGGCAAGACACTTCACCCGTTGCCTACTGGTGGTGGTCAGAGGGCCCGGTGGCGCCAGTGTCCGGCAGTGTCAGTGCGCCCCAGGGTGGCTGTGGCTACAATGTAGCTTGCCATCACCAGTGTGTGTGTGAATGGGTGGATGACTGGATGTGTAAAGTGCTTTGGGGTCCTTAGGGACTGCGTGTGCACCTCACACATCTGTTTTTATTAAACCACGGTGAAACGGATGAAATGTATTTTTAATCTAATTATGACAACTTGCATCTTAGTCATTAATAAGAAAACAAGTTAAAACCCCCTCAATCCATGTGACTGTGATCACTAACTGCTGAGACGACCATCAAAACATTCCTGTTAAACTTTGTACAATGTTACATTGATAAATGGAAACCTCTATATTTTTTGTATTTATGTGCCAGCATAATAACATTTAGCATTTTATAAACACTAAAAATGGCTAACATGTTACAAAACCAATTAATAGTTGAATTAGACAAGCACAAGATTTTTATTTTTTTTTTGTAATTTGGATTTCCTGTTGCTGTCATCATTCACACATTTCACAGCACATTTAAATGTGCAATTTTCTCTCCTCAATTAAAAATTAACACGATGAGTCTAATCCAACATATACATGCAGCTCAAAACATGTGCCTTTTTCTCCACTGAGAGGTAAATGGTGTTTGTAATCTTTAATCTGGCAACAATGTATAACAGTGTATCAGAGAGCCAAGTCTCTGATGTTTTTGTTGTAAGATTAGGTCGGGCAATAGATGCAAATATTCACTGAAGTGAAAAACTTGATTTGAAATCTTTATGGTTTTGGTAAGTAGACAAAGTCGGCTTCATGAATAATTCAGTATCAACATATCTGATCTTAAGCTGTGGGTAAGAGAAAAGATGCTTTCCAGTTTATTTAAGTTAACATAAACAGAAAATGTCATTAATGATTTCAAAGCAAAAAAGGTTGCAAAGTTTCATTACATCCATAAATCCTCTCTGTGGTCTTTTTCCACCGTACAATGAACATGGCTAAATGCAACAAAAGGTTGAAAATAGGTGAGTTATTTTAGGATAACAAAGTCTACAAGTTTACATTTTATGAAATTTAAATTGGTTCAAGCAAAAAACAAAAAACAAAAAATCAATTGTAGTTTGTAATTAACCTGGTTGGAAGACAAAGTGCAGCCTTGCTTTTGTGTAACAGTTAGAAAAGTTGCATCAGCTGTGGAAGATGTAGATGAAGCTGTTGGAGCAGCTGGGTAATGGAAAGATTGCAGAAGTTGTTTGGATATACAGAGATGGGCTGGAGAGAAATTTATTTTTGTCATCTTATCCTTGAGCAGTCTCTCTTTCCAAGGTTGAATTCATGCGATGGCTGAAATGCAGAATGTTTCGGAGAGGGTTTCAGACATGCATGTGGCCAATCGGTGGATTTGCTCATGCTGTGGTCTTCAGTATTTCATATTTTGAATCATACTTGAAAAAAATCACTTTTTTTGTGTGTGTGTGTAAAAGGGTTTAATGGAGGGAAATGTGCAATGCTTAGGAATAGTGTATCTGAGCATGTATATTACACATACTTTGAGGTTTGTCCATTTTGGGTTGTTATACTGAGTATAAGACTGAAGTGCTGATACCTGTGTGTGTTGCAAAAAAGGTGATCTGAATGTACAGGTTGGACCTAGATCAGGGCGATATGACCACAACTATTTATCACGATATACATTTGAAAATTTGTGATAAAGATATAACTGACGATATAATTGACACTAGAAAAAACACTTTACAACTCCACAACTTTATTAGTGCAAAAGAAACAAAAACAATGTGTTTTCACTTAAACAAGCAGCTGTTTTTTTTATGTGCATT